TGTTGGTGATTTCTTTTGTACATGAATGTCTTGGTTTCAACATATTTTTGTGACATCGGTTTCGATATTTTTTGTAAACAAATTTATTGCAGTTTTACATGTTCCGCTGAAACAAACAAAATAAGTAGTTCTCTAGTTTCATAGGATTGGTTTAATGACTAATGGGCATTGTTTTTTTTATTGTCAGGCCTCATGGAGATCCTCAGATGATTCGATTTGGTGCTCATCTAGTACTTGTGCTTAGATATTTACTTGATGATGAAAATAAGGATACTTTGAGAGAGAAGATTATGAATGTTGGTGATCTCATTATACACATGTAAGTAGCTTCAAATCATGTCTTTGGCAATTGTTATGTGATACGGTATGAACTATTGTTGAATAACATTTTGTGAAACCGATGAGTGTGATGAACAACAACACGAGAACTCGGGGAAGCAATATGGGACAAAGTTTGGAGGAACCCTTGAATGGGCTGAGCGTGTAGAGAGGGTGGTTCTCATGTCCTTCAAGACAGCTTGATTTTTGTCTTATTTTTTGGCTTAAATGGACACGAAGATTTCTGGTGTATTGTAAGAGGATTGTGTGTGTGTGGATGCAATATTTTGTTTATTGTTCATTAATGGTTGGTGAATCTGATTCTAGGTATGCCATGTTTCTCTTTTCCATGCAACATGAGGAGTTGGTGGGTATATATGCTTCTCAACTTGCACGCCACCGTTGCATTGACCTCTTTGTGCACATGATGGAACTGAGGCTGAACAGCAGGTTAATGTTTCTGTACAATGTTCTCCCATTACCTTTTTAACACAAAACATGTAGGGTATTCAAATTTGTAAAATGTATTGTAAATTTTTGTTAGCAAGATATCGCAAATTGTAGGGTATTCTATGCGGGGTCCTATAATTTTTTTCTATGGATGGAGGGGACATGAAGTTTTGTTTATTACCTGGTATATAATATATATATATATATATATATATTATTTATTATTTATTCTATGTCGTCTGTTAACAGTGTGCATGTCAAATATAAGATCTTCCTTTCTGCTATGGGGTATTTACAATTTTCTCCGGTGGACAACTCAAAAGGAAGTTTTGAAGAGATTGTTGAGAGGTATTTATGTTTCTTCTTTATCCTACTTTACTTTTGGGACGGGAAGAAAGCAATTTGATTTTTCTATACCTTATTCTACTTCTAACAAACTGTTTAAACAGGGTTCTGTCAAGATCTCGGGAAATGAAAGTTGGCAAGTATGATAAGTTATCAGATGTTGCAGAGCAGCACCGGCTGCAGAGCCTTCCCAAAGCTATGGTTATCCAGTGGCTATGCTTTACACCCCCCTCCACAGTTACTAATGTCAGGGATGTCAGTACAAAACTTCTTCTACGAGCTTTGACACACAGGTAATGGTTGTACCATGTTGTATAGCTCCGTTTATGTTTGTGGAACCTCAAGCTGGTTTCTGGTCAGTACATAATTCTAAAATCATCTAACAGCACGAAAGAATAGTTCAGTTCTTTTCTTTTTGTGATGTGTTAAGGATGATGTATACTTTCTTGCAAGAAAACAAAAGGTGATTTATATCTTAAAGTTGTAGTTCTCGTCTTGGTGAGGATAGTTTCCCTAATTGTTATACTGGTTCCGTGAGATTCTTTAGGTGGTATTTGTTGTCCCTAATTGTTGTACTAGTTCCATGAGATTCTTTAGGTGGTATTTGTTGCTGATACATTCTCATTGCATCTTCCTTGCCTGTCCTATTTTGTTTCTATCTGTGATTTCCTCACTTTTAACCTCCCATTTTCTTCTTATAGCAACATATTGTTTCGGGAGTTTGCCCTAGGTTCAATGTGGAGAGTTCCTGCAATGCCCATTGGTGCTCACACATTACTTAGCTTCCTTGCTGAACCTTTAAAGCAACTCTCAGAATCTTCTGATACCGTGGAGGATTACAACGTTTCTCAGAACCTGAAAGAGTTCCACGATTGGGTAAGCTTCATTTGTGTGTGTGTGTGTGTGTGTGTGTGTCTCTCTCTCTCTCTCTCTCTCCAGTTAACATTGCCAACTTATTAGTAATTTAGTATGTTATCAAATCCTTGTGAAATTTTATATAACATTTACATATGTGGATGTTAATTTGTTTTTTATTTTGAGCAGAGCGAGTATTATTCTTGTGATGCAAAATATCGCAATTGGCTCAAAATTGAATTAGAGAATGCAGAGGTTCCCCCCCTTGAACTCTCAATGGAGGAAAAACAAAGAGCCGTTTCAGCAGCCAAGGAGACTCTGAATTCATCTCTGTCATTGTTACTGAGTAAGCTGATTATTTCTCTTTCTAAATGTGAAAACAAGCTGAGAAAGATATCTGGATTGGCTTGTGTTTGTTCAAACAAAATTTCCCAAGGACAACGGGTTTAGATCCATTATTGTCCTTTTTTTTCCTTTCTCTTTTTCACCTTTTTCAGATTTAATAGTTGCTTGACATGTAAGTAAGTTGTCTTTGTATATAGGAACTGAAAATCCTTGGTTAGCTTCAGCTCAAGATCATTTGTATGAATCTGTGGAACCTGTATTTGTTGAATTGCACACCACCGCAATGCTTTGCTTGCCATCTGGTGAATGTCTGCCTCCAGATGCAACCGTGTGCACTGCATTAATGAGTGCTCTTTACTCTTCAGTGAGCGAGGAAGATGTGTTGCATAGGCAACTAATGGTATGTTTATTTGTTTGTGGAAGCTGATAGTAAGAAAGGATAAAACAAACGTGTATTGATAGATTCTCAAAACTAAGAATCAAAGTTTCTCTTTGTGTGGGTTCTCATTGGTGAGAACAATAATAGGGGTTTACACTGTCCAGAATATTGTCCCTTTAGCTACCTAATCTTTTATGCATTAACCTTTCTGTTTCTTTCTTCATTTTTCTTTTGCTCACTAACAGGAATCTTTTTGTTCTTCTGTAGATAAATGTCACCATATCCTCAAAGGACAATTACTGTGTTGAGGTGGTGCTTCGCTGCTTGGCAGTGGCAGGCGATGGTCTTGGGTCACAGGAAAACACTGATGGGGGTATTCTTGGTACTGTAATGGCTGCTGGCTTCAAAGGTAAGCAATATTATTGATACTGGAGTTCTGTTGTTCTTTGCTCAAGGTCCCTCTCTGGTTTTCTTTGATCTTCCAACTAGAATTTTAGGGCTCGGGCTTTTTGGCTGTGCTCAATGTGAGTGAATCTTATATTGGAAATTCTAGAAAAAAGCAAAGGTTAATAAATGGATTGTTCGGCAGCTCTCTATGTTCAACCTAACACAATCTTCACAAATTGATCAAAGTGTGGTCACGTTGCTAGAGAATCAAAATCAAATGAATTCTAATCAACAACTGACAACAAAAGTTCTTTACAAACAGAAGAAACATTGTGAAAGTATAACAGGATAATTGAAGGAAAAAGAAATGTACTCTTCAAATGGTGAATGAAAGAAATAGTAGGAGAAAAGGTGATTGAACTGAATAATTTTCATCGCAGGTGAGTTGCCTCGTTTTCAAGCTGGAGTTACCATCGAGATTTCGCAATTAGATGCCTGGTATTCGAGCAAAGAAGGTTCCTTGAAGAGCCCAGCAACATACGTTGTGCTGGGTCTATGTCGTAGGTGCTGTATTCCAGAAGTCATTCTTCGATGCATGCAGGTAACCTTCTTCCCAAGTGGCCTTCTACTTGAAATTTGTTGAATGATTACATACAGTAACAAGAACTGTGCACACCTTTTAATTGTGTAATGTATGTCATAATATGCAGGTCTCGCTTTCACTTATAGAGTTGGGTGTTCCACCTGAAAGCCATGATCAGTTGATTGAATTAGTTGCTAGCTCCGAAGCTGGATTTCTTCATTTGTTTAGTCACCAACAACTGCAGGTAATAGATACTTCTCATTTGTTCACCAGGTAGACAATTTATAACTTGAGGCTTTAAGCATATTGTTCCTTTGTCTATCGATCTCCCACTTTTAAACAATCGGATGTAAATGTCTACTCTTCCTTCTAAAGGCACTTTTGTATCGTAAATTAAACCCCTTGCCATCAAAATTTCAACCGATAGCCATTGCCCTCTGGCCTCCGCCATACCATAACCTTCACTTCTGAGTCTTGACTTCACATCATCCACAGATTCATCACTGAACATGTGCTGGGCCTTAAATTTGTCAATTTTGGAATTATGTACTTATAAAGTACCCCGTAAGCTTATTTGATCATTCGGAAACTTCCGTGGAGCTCCCTCTTTTACTTTCCCCTTTAGCATCCGCTGATTAACATGACCCGACTTATTGAACCACCGTCTCATCTGCAGGAACTTTTATTGTTTGAGAGGGAATATTCCATAAGCCAAATGGAGCTTGAAGAGGAGCTTTCTTCTTGACTTGTTGGTCAAGGCTAGGTTTCTTGGTGCTTACTGCAAGGCTGATAGGGTTGTAAAATGGTACGTTCTGTAGTTTTACCGTCACAGGTATTCCGGATCACCGACCAACGACAGCGGCACCACCACAATTTTTTCTACATTTACCCCGCTGAACCTGAGATGCAGATGTGACAAATATGAAGATTTTATCGTTTGTGTAGGTTTTTGTTAGACTTGTCTATGTAGGTGGCTGAAATTTGAATGATAAAGATATGAGAGGTTTCTCTGGTGTTGACAAATATCGATGTTATTATTGCTATTATTCTTATATCATTTTTGGAATTGTTGTTACACGCAACCGGATGTCAACTGTGTCAACCAGAACCTTCAGTCCTCTTCTATGTAACAACTATGCCAACAGATTTTATCTTCGGACAAACTTGTTTATCTTTTGACCTCGGTGGTATTCGTACATCTTTTTTTTTTATCCTTTCAAATCATTTGATTTGACGATAAAAATTTTAGAAAGTAAATGAAAAATATAAGAGAAGAGCGGCGTGGATAACAGGACCTTCTGCTTAATCGAAAATGCAAACAAATAAAACACAAAAATAGACACCGGCACCACTTGGGAATTGGGATCGCTCGCAGCCAATGAGAGATGTTATAACTTCCTCCCAAATCCTAATCATATAAAAATCAAATCAGACAACATTAACAGTAGAAAAAACACAACCTTTGTCCAACGAGCTCCACAACTTCCCCCGTTTCTCTCTTTCTCTGCCCTACTTTCTGTCAAATTCAACACTAACAAATTACAGACACACAGATTCCAATTAGGGTTTTTGTTTCTCTCCTCTTCTCCTCTGTTTTTGTTTATTTTTTCATTAATTTTTGTTTGTTTGTTTCCAAATTTTATCGTCCTCCAATTAACTTCCCATGATCCGAGCTCTCCTGCATCCCAGCAACGACCTCGGATTCAAATTCTGAGAAACTCAATCGAATTCCGACCCAATCATGGGTGTTTCGTTTAAGGTTTCAAGGACCGGTACTAGGTTCCGTCCGAAGCCGCCTCTGCAGTCCGAGGCCGACGTTGCCGGTGATGACGTGTCCGAGACTCCCAATAACAGCAGCTCCCGAGCTGTCCCCAGAAAGCTCGAGGTAAAGTTTTGAGATTGGTGAATTTCTCTCTGTTTGGTTGCTGAGAAAATGTGGGGAAATGAGTGGCAATGTGAGAAAAAGAAATTGCTGATAATTCAACTTAATTTATTACTGTAATTTAGCGGAGTGTTTAATTTGTTGCTTTGCTTGTGTGATTACTTTACTGGGGTGTTTTTGGCTGTTCAAGTTGTACAAGGGAAGAATTTACATAAAGGTTTACAGCTATTTTCGATCTTTCGGCATTGGGGTTTTGCTCACAAAGTGTGTCCAGGCGTTTTGCTGAGCCTGAATTTGAATATCTATGTCGATTCTGCTGAATATTATTTGTTTTTGGGTGGAAAGTGGATGTTGAGATCAAAGCACTTTGTTTTCAAAGTGGGTACTTAAATTAATTGTTGAAATTAAAAATTTCTGATCCATCACCTCGAGTTGAATGTTGAAGCTATATCCGTATCCAGTTAATTCTTAATCCCCCAAGGGCTATGGAGTTATTCTTTTGCTGCCCTTGATCGACTTAAAAGGTGCACGGAAGGAGACGCAGAACAGAATCCACATTATTTTCCTTCTTTCTTGCAACTGAAACAGAAATGAGCATTACTTTTTACTTATTCTGATATGGAATATGCAAGCGGAAAGCTTTCATTGTAGTTTGATTGAGAACCCTTGAATAAGGAGAATGAGTAGAGGGTTTGATGTGCCGTTTGCATTCTATCTTTGTTTTTGACTAATTAGATTCTCTTATGGTATGTACAGGGTGAGAATGGGGCCAGGGTTTCTGGTCCACCAATGTCTTCTGAAGGGCTTCTCCTATCTGCAGGTTTGTCACAATTTTTTTAGGGGATTAGCCATTGTTTTTATCTTGATTTTTCTTTCCTTTGTTTTGACAGAAAACGAAGTTTCCTTCACTTTGAATCTCTTCCCAGATGGATACTCTATTGGAAAACCATCAGAGGTTTGTTAAAAAGAAATATAATTTTGGATAAGATGGAAACATGGCTCTTTTAAATCTTGTTTCTTATTCTTAAGCCCTTCTGTATTTATGAATTTTCAGAATGACACTTCTCATCAAGCTACACATCAAGATGTTCCAAAGTTGTTACACCCATATGATAGGACGTCAGAAACTCTTTTTTCGGTAAATGTCTAGTTATTTGAATTTCCCCCTTTATTTCTTTTGAGTGTCCAGTTATGGTTAGAATGTTGCAATTTTTCTTTGGAAGATCAGTAGTTGCATGCAATATAGTATGGCATAAAACTCTTCCATTAAAATTTTGATATAAAGTTTTCGCTGTTTTGTTTATTCATTTAACTCCAGAAAACTGACTGTTATAATGATGGACTTGACCATTGATGAGCATGTATTACGTGCAATGAGTGTGTAAAACCAAACAAATGAAAAAGAAGAAAGAACGGTTTTTTCAAAAGGCGCTTCATCAATTTGTTATTTGATTTAACTAGTTTACAGGTCACTTTATGCCACCTGCAACTCCTTCCTTGTCATCTGCATCGAAATTACTATCTGGAATTTCTTGCTCTGTAGTTTTTTTTTTTTTTTTTTTTTTTTTTGGTACTAAGATTTTCTTCCTTTTCCATTTGCAAATATATCTGGAGGCAATTGAATCTGGCCGGTTGCCTGGAGATATTCTAGATGATATACCTTGCAAGTATGTCGATGGAACACTTGTGTGTGAGGTGAGTTATCTTGTTCCGTAAGATTACCTATGCAAGAACAGTGAAATAATCTAATAGAAAAGTATTTCGAAATGGGAATAGGACAACAAACATTAACTAATTTTTACATTATTTAGCTATACTTTGTTTTTAAAATTGGTTATATGTGATTTCTTGCAGATTCGTGATTATCGCAAATGTGCTTTTGAACAAGGGCCTAGTAGTCCCTCTACCAATGGATCCGTCATTGTAAATAAAGTATGCCTTAAAATGTCATTGGAAAATGTAGTGAAGGATATCCCGCTGATCTCAGATAATTCTTGGGCTTATGGTGACCTGATGGTATGTAACTAGATGTCTCCCATCCCTTCCAAATAGTTCTCTGTAATATGTTCGAGTTGTGATGTCAACATATAGTATTCACTTTAAATTGCAGGAAGTGGAGTCCCGAATATTGAAATCTTTGCAGCCACAACTTCATTTAGATCCAACTCCCAAGTTAGACAGGCTCTGTAAAAATCCAGTTCCCACAAAGGTAATGAAGTTTCAGGTTTAGTTGATGTACTTCACCTGGATGATTTGATGCATTTTAATCATATCAATTTTTGCGTTTGCAGCTCGATTTGGCATTGACTGGTATCCGGAGAAAGAGGTTGAGACAGATGCCAGAAACTGTTGCATCTAATAGCAAGACACATGGGAAGAAAGTTTGCATTGATAGAGTTCCAGAAAGATCTAACAGTAGGTTGGGAGATTCAGGAACCCTTCCAGCCAATATGATGCCACACGCCCATGAAAATTTGACCGATCAAAATGTGAGTACAAATAACTTGTTGGCCCTAAGATCCAAGAGTTTTATGACCGATGCTTCTGTTCCAGCACCACATTTAGCACCGAACCAATCAAGGTATCAAATGGGGGTCGGAACCCCAAGAAGTGTGCAGGACGCTGGATCAGGAAGTGTTGTCAATGCATCACCTTCCCCTGTTGGGCAAGACATGATGATCTCGTATACTGACAATGTGAACAGTAATGTCCCTCTTCTTGGAAAGAGAGAGCATCAAGATGGCCAAATGTCACCCTTATCTACTTTTAATAAGAGACAAAGACCCACACCAGTTGGCCTTGATGGAATGCAACATGAGCAAATAGGGCCACATATGGATACTTTCCATGGATCAGATATGAACTGGAAGAATAACTATTTGCAGCAGCAAGCAATGGCCAAAGGAATTCAGTTTCAAATACAGGAATTCAGAAGTTCTCCCAGCAGATGTTTGATGGGGCGGTGAGTCAGGACCCTGGGACAATGCCATTTGTTGTAGGACAGCCAAACATGAGATATGGTGCCAAGGAAGAGCCGTTTGATATAGGTAAGATAGACGGGTCAGAGCTCAGTGGGATTAAGACCGATGTGCCGATAATGGAAGGAGACACAAGCCATCTCGATCCATCAAGGCTTCACCAAAGATTATCACAGCATGCATTCATGAGATCTAATTTTTCTCAGCCATCCTGGAGTAATCTTGGTCAGAATATGGAGAAAGATGCAAGAAAGGATGACCAACTCCCAAAAAGAAAATTAGCTCAAAGTCCTCGGGTATCTTCTGGGGCTTTAGTGCAATCCCCATTATCATCAAAGTCGGGGGAGTTTTCTACTGGTTCTGTAAGACCCCACTTTGGAACAGCTGCAGTAACTTCTGCTTTAGCGGCATCGCAGAAGGAGAAGGCAGCAATGACCTCAGTTCCTACTATTGGAGCCCCATGTTTGACTTCCAGTGCTAATGAGTCTATGCAACGGCAACACCAGTCTCAAGCTGCAGCAAAACGGAAAACAAACTCGCTCCCTAAGACCTCAGCAATGACTGGTGTTGGATCTCCTGCCAGCGTGAGTAATATAAGTGTTCCACTAAATGCAGGCAGTCCTTCTGTTGGAACTCCATCCTCCGCTGATCAAACCATGCTTGAAAAATTCGCAAAATTGAAGCGGTCACCATGAGGTATAACCCTATTTTTTACCTTTTGATCTAGGGTAATAATGGTACTAGTTTTGAATTTATATAAATTTCTTTGCACTATATTCCCAGCACTTTATTTTCCCTCTCTACCTACAAAAGAATGTGAAAGGTGGATGGAAAATTGCAATTTTTAAAATGTGTGTGTTCCTTAATTGTGTAAGCATTTATCAGGAAATAGATTCGACTCAAGGAGATAATGGTAGACTCTACAGTCTGGCTACATGATTTTCTCTCCTAGTTTTTGTTTACTTTCCCCTCACGCAGTGTTTTCTAACTTGCAAAAATTTCTGGACAAATTTCTTAGATCTTATCTACTTTGGTGGCGAATGACTTATCAATTATATAGCAATAACAGATTCGTTATTTTCAACCGGGTGTTGTTTCAGGTATCAGCTCAACAAAAAAAAGAATAAGGTTGATGATATCAGGAAGCCAAATACATTCCCAGATCAACATCTTCGAGCCTGCCTCTCAAATGGTTCCAATAATGAGGATTTCAATGATGATTCATGTGAGAGACGTTTGTCGAAGTCACTTGTTGGTGGAAGCATGAATATCTGCAAAATTAGAATTTTGAATTTTGAGAAGGAAGAGCATATTGTTCAAGGTGCAGTATATCCTATCAATCAGATATATGCCCTTTGTTTTAATATATTTATTCAAAATCTGGGCCAGATATTTCGGTTTGGTTATATATCTAGTAGAATTCCTGTCTTCCCTATGATTCTAAAGTCTACTTTTGACTCTGCAGGAAATGGTGTTTATCTTCCCAAGCAACGAACTAGGTTGATCGTGTCAGAGAGACCAAATGATGGTACTGTAGCAATGTACTACGGCAAAGTAGAAGATGGTGATTTTCTGTCTGCCGAGGAACATCTTCCTACTTTGTCCAATACTGTAAGTGTTATTGTACAAGTTAAACTTTGCTGTCTGAGGTGATTGTCTGTTTGATTGAACTCAGTGTTACCAGACATAGTTGAGGCAATCAACAAATTGTGTTGTCATCCTATCTTACCGATGATTCATTTTCTCAAAATATAAATTTACACAAATACTTGTCTTTTGTGGTTTCTGATTTTTTATTTTTTTTTATAGCATTTTTGCTATTTATTTTGTTATCATTTTCACATTCCTGTTTCAGACTTCTTTTTGCCCCTTCGAATCTGCTATTGGCTTGTGGGATTTTCGTGCTTGTATATTCTTTGATTAATCTTTCCTACCATTTTCTGCCGTTGGTTGCACAAAATTTGTCACCATATATGTCCTAAAATATTCTGTATTAAGGAGCTTGGTGCGGCATTCACAGTAATTTGTAATCATATAGCTGATCAGATCGTATTAAACAACTTTTAGTAACTTTGGTTATGTAAAAGAGCTGGACTGGAATCTCTGTTGGGATGACCTTCACTATTTACCATTCCTTGTGTTTTCTGTTGCTGACGTATATATCTAAACTCATTCCTGTAACAGCACATGGCGGATTTGCTTGCAGCACAGTTCTGTTCGCTGGTATGTTTTTAATGGTCTTGAAGTTAACTAAGAGTTTAAATTACACTTTTAGTTTGTGATTTATGTTATCTTCTTATTCAGATGGTGAAGGATGGTTATGTTGTGGATGATCACATTCAATTAAAGCCAACCCGCATGACTGTTGCCCCAAGCAATCAATCAAATGCTGCTGGGCTGCCCCGTAACAACTCAGCAGCTGATATGCAACAATATGCAGATTCAGTTTCAGGCCAGCCGTCCAATGAGGTTGCAAAGTCAGTTAATGGCGGTAATTCATCCTTAACTTCATCCCACAATCTTCTACCAAGCACAAGGATGTTGCCTCCTGGAAACCCTCAGGCTTTACAGATGTCTCAAGGGCTCATGGCTGGGAATTCGATGCCTCAACGCCAACAACAGCTTGAGTCACAACCATCACTCCAGCAGCAGCAGCAGCAGCAACACCAACACCAGCAGCAGCAGCAACAACAACTACAGCAGCAGCAACAACTGCAGCAGCAGCAACAACAGCAGCCACAGCAGCAGCAAAGCCAACACTCATTGATTCAACAGCAGAATCCCCAGCTCCAGAGATCAATGATGATAGCAGCAAATTCGCTTTCACAGTTTGGACAGAATTCCAATATGCAATTACCCATGGGGAGTAATAAGCTTACCCCCTTGCAGCAATATCAGCTTTTTCAGCAGCAGCAACAGAGTTCACAAATGCAGAGAAAAATGATGATGGGACTTGGAACAGCTATGGGAAACTTAGGCAATAACATGGTTGGGCTTTCCGGAGTTGGAAACACCATGGGCATGGGAGCTGCAAGGGGAATGGGATCTGCGCCTATGACGCCTATTTCTGGAATGGGCAATGTGGGTCAGAATCCAATGAATTTAAGCCAGGGTTCAAATATTAGCAATTTAACCCAGCAATTTCAACCCGGAAGATTAACACAAGCTGCTTTAATGGCATCAAAATTCAGGATGCCAAATAACCGAGGCGGCATGTTAGGCAGTCCTCAGTCAGGCATAGCTGGGATGTCAGGAGGCAGACAGATGCATCCGGGATCTGCTGGTTTCTCAATGTTGGGTCAGACTCTGAACCGAGGTAATATGAGTCCGATGCAACACACGCCAGGAGTAGGGCCCATGGGTCCACCAAAGCTGATGGCGGGGGTGGCAGGGACGAATATGTACATGAATCCGCAGCAGCAGCAGCAACAGTTTCAGCAACAACAAATGCAGCAGCAGCAGTTGCAGCAACAGCAACAGCAATTACAGCAGCAGCAGCAGCAGCAGCAATTGCAACAGCAGCAGCAAGAAACGACTTCACCACTACAGGCTGTTGTTTCGCCGCAGCAGGTGGGCTCTCCCTCGGGAATTTCACAACTGGCCCACCAGAGCCAGCAGCAACAGCAGCAGCTGCATCAGCAGGCTAGCCCACAGCAAATGAGCCAAAGAACTCCGATGAGTCCACAGCTGAGCTCAGGGGCAATGCATGCCATGAGTGCTGGTAATCCAGAGGCTTGTCCCGCAAGCCCACAGCTAAGCTCTCAAACGCACGGCTCAGTCGGTAGTATGGCAAATTCTCCTATGGACCTTCAAGGTGTGAACAAGAGTAACTCTGTTGGTAATCCGTAGCAACAATATCAGATCTTCGGGGGTGTTCTCAGGAGGAAATAGTTCAGCCGCTTCTGTCGGAAGCCTCCCCCTCAAATCCCAAAGTTAAGTCGACATTTAGACGTATTAGTCCTTATTAACACAGTAAACTTTACATACATTGTTCAAATAAATTTTGGCAGAAGAACTATGAGCTTAGTACATGATATCACCTTTTTTCCGGGGCAAAAAGGTGAATATACATTTACTGGAGTGCAATGGTTTGTGCTAGAGGGGGCTCAGAAATAAGATCCATCTCTCTGCTGCTCTACAGGTGTATAAATTCTTGGGGATTGGCTGGTGTTTATAAGTGAAGGTTGAGTGTGAAAGTATTTGCAATTTTCTGTTTCATTTTTTTATTTTTGGTGTGACCAAATTATTTTCTTTTTGGACTTAGTATCCTTTCCATGGGAGAACCCCACTTAAGATTAACGTATTTTTACCGTACAAACAGCGTGATCAGAATCATTCAATGTGTTTATTATCATCTAAAGATCATTTATGCAAAAAATTATTCAAAGTTCAAATCACCCATCTCATAAAAAAAAAAAAAAAAAAAAAAAACAATTTGAGTTACATTAGCTAGTTTACAATTTGCAATTTCTCCCAAAAGTTGAGAACTAAAGCATGGAGTTGAGTTTATGATCTTTATTTCTTTGGTCAAAGAGTTTATGATCACCTAGTGTTCTCACATGGCTCCTGGTAATATCTTTGACGCTAGGACAGCAAGAGAGGGCCATTGTCAGCTCAAACTCATCCTCGAGCATTTCGATCACCCGCCTCACTCCCCGTCCTCCGCCTGCTGCAAGGCCGTAGATAACCAGCCTTCCAACCTGCGTCGACATTTGCAATTTCTCACATATGTATCAATAAGGCCAGGAACAACAAAAGTAGAACTAGTTTTAAGGGTTAAACAGTGGTGGATGGATATGATTCTTACGAGAACAGTTTGTGCACCGAGGGTTAACGCCTTGAACACGCCTTCCCTTGCCTTACTCCTCCATCGAAAAGAACAGGATCTTTTCCTCCAGCAGCATGAACCACCTGAACACCTTATCATACAACTTTCCAATTGATTTCGTAACAGGAAAAAAGAAATGATGAAGCAGCGGTTGATAGAGTTGCACTCATCCAGGACAGAAATAGTGGGAGGAGTACAATCGAATTGGCGGCCTCCATGGTTCGAGACAACAATCCCAGCAACTCCTACTTCCACGGCCTTTCTTGCTGAAATATGGTAAAACAACAGCCGTGATCAGAAGGGCTAATCTCGACACACGTCGACTTAAAGGATCAGTTGATCTTACCATCTTCCATGAGTAAGACCCCTTGATTAGAATTGGCATGTTCGTAATATATTTCAGCTGTCCTATGTCCCGCGTACTCAATCAATCGATGCAATAACTAAGCGTTCAAGACGAAAAGAAATAGCTAGCGTACGAAGACATGCACAGAAAAGGAGTATAAAACTTATGCGCTTCAATGACCAAACAAGTGTCATATATATATGCACATTCACTTGGATCGTATACAGATATAAATGTCGCCTATTTTTCTCTTTATTTTGTGCACTTCATGTATATATCTGCTCATCGTTATGGATATATCACAATATACAGATTTACGCTACGCAAAGTTTCATCAGCGCAAAAAGTTTACTTCCAAATTCTTCAATCGAGCTTCAACCCTTCTGCGACAGTTGTGACCGCATTTGCTAAATGAGATGCATAAGATATTATTCAATGAACAACATAAGTGTCAGCAAAACAACATATTTGTAATAAATAGGATGACACAACCGATTCTTTATGTCTACCATCGACCAAATCTGGGAGCATCGACAGTTAGGAAAGGCTTGGTATCCAGCTTTTTTCAGCTCTGCGAGCTATCTCAGCTGATATTCCCTTGTAAACCTGTTCAGAAAACCGTTCCGTTTGATAGCTTGATGAGCTCTGATAGGCTGGAAGGGATAGTAACTAATAAAATAGAAATCAGAGCAACCGAAAATTGAAACGAGCTCAAGCGAGAACAAGTACATATAATTGAAAGAACCGAACAGCGTTGCAGCTGGAAGCAACCTCCTCCACGGTACAGGAAAACCTACTGGACAAAATCTACAACGGAAAAGCTACAATTCAAATGGTAAACAACGCGTATTAGTTTAATGCATGTCGTAAGTTACTCAAACATATATCATTATGGTGTTACATGAACCTGCTGTTCTAGCAGTAGCAACCTCTCCTGTATTCGATATAAAAGAGCTGGTAGAAATTAGTGTCCTAACCCAATCTCAACAGAGAACTCTTGAAAGGCGGTATATAGATTTTAGATCTTCGGGGTGAGCTGGCTGCTGCCTTGTAGTACGAGCAATCATTATCGGCGCCGAGATTTTGTACCCCAACACAATATTTGACATGTATATTCAGCTAACTTCGACAAAAAAATCTAGGCCGCGACCTGGAACAAAACACACGAATCAGTCGGTCGCGTAATATTATACCGCACTACTTTACAGTAAACATCAGCAGGCAGTTTACATGATTCTGCAAAATGCTTCAACGTTCTCCTGTAGCATGTGCTCGTCCTCAGCTCCCCCTGTTTAGTAATCGCAGTGCAGTATGAACTGATGAAACTTATTTGAGAGTTGGAAACTTAGTTGCTGAATGGGGCCTGAGAAAGTGGAAGAGCATAGAATCATGAAATGCGTGTTTGGCCAATTTTTGTTCAAAAGTGAACTTTTCTTTTCGCTAGTGGCCACTCTTGATATTTTAAGGATAACAGTCTGCGTGTGAAGAGAAATTTTTTTTACACGACAAGGTAACCTCATTTCATTGTACAAACGTTATATACAGAATCAGTCATTCTTTTTGCCATCATGTAAAGATCATCTATAAATGAATAAACAGTTCGAATTATAACGTTTGTATGTAAAATGACGTCACACCGTCATGTGTAAAGAAGATTTGTTTTTTCTTTTTTGGCTACATCTAAAGATAATGACTCTTGAAATGCAATTAAATGGTGAAAGCAACTTGGATGGTAAATTGACCTAAAATTCTCTATGCATTGACATCATGGTTTAAATTGAAAAAAATTTACTTTTCAATTTTTCTTCTAACTTGATCCCATTTATTGTTATGATTGATTATTTAGGTATAAACTGCTCCTCAGAGATTTGGTACGTTGCCACGGTCTGATAAAATCTAACATCGAAGCGATTAACCAATATGAGACTAGAAACCAAACGATTTAAGTTAAATTATACCTAAAGCAATCAATCATATAAACGAATGAGAAGGAGAAAAATAATATAAACAAATGAGACCAAAGCTAAAGAAAATCGAATAGAAGTGGAGTTTTTTCACACGAGTCTTGTCTTTAAGAAAGTTAAATTACGACAGCTAGTTTTAGAATCTGCAGTTTACTGATGATTTCACTCCATCCACGTCTCTGCATAATATTATTTTCTCCTTCGGCACACTTTTGATTTATTCAATCCAGAGGAGGGAAATACATAGGGGCGTTGAGGAAAAGAAAATAGGTGTGCGGAAATCACTTTCGGTAAATTAAATTAGAGCATTGAATGGAGTTTATCACTTTCTGTTTTCACATGGCTCCTGGTGATATCCCTGATGCTAGGACAGCCAGAAAGGGCCATTGTGAGCTCAAACTCGTTCTTCAGCATCTCGATCACCCGCCTCACTCCCCGTTCTCCGTCTGCTGCAAGGCCGTAGACAACAGGCCTTCCCACCTTCAGTGAGATGTGCATTGATCAATGAGAAAAGCCACAATAGTAGAAGCAGTTTAAGGAAACATATGAGGAGATTGATAAGCAATGTGGTGGATATGATTCTTACAAGGACAGCTTGTGCACCAAGAGCTAACGCCTTGAACACGTCTGTTCCTCGGCGTACTCCTCCATCGAAAAGAATAGGAACTTTTCCTCCAACAGCATGAACCACCTGAATACATTATGGATAGAATATGGTGATTGAACATTCTTACGAAGTTTTCGAGTCAGCTTGTAACAGCAAAAAAAAATTTGCACGTTTCTAATGTGGAAGTTACACCATTTTCGTGTCTTAACAAGTTACGCCAGAAAAAAATGATGAAGTAGAGATAGAGTTGCACCTCTTCCAGGATAGAAATAGTGGAGGGAGTATAATCGAGTTGGCGGGCTCCATGGTTCGAGACAACAATGCCAGCAACACCTACTTCCACAGCCTTTCTTGCTGAAATATGGTAAAACAACAGGCATTCAGAAGGGATAATTGGGGGTACGTCAACTTAAACAATCGAACCAATGTATCTCAAACATGGGGTTGTTTGAGTAACAAAAAGCACGCCCTGTTTTGGATTCGTGAAGAATTAGAAAACATCTTCTAGATCTTTCGGTTTGAGTTTTATATGTACAGAAGGTAAGATATCAAAATATGGAGCCCTGATCATCAGTTACCATCTTCATGAGTGAGTACCCCCTTGATTAGAATTGGCAAGTTTGTGATAGATTTCAGCCATCCTATGTCCTGCACACGCCAACAACGCAATAACTAAGCATTCAAGAAGAAGGAAACCACCTAGCACATCGGCACATAATAAGTTCTCTAACAGATTGTCTACAAGCATATGAAAACGCAATCAGACGAGTCTACTGATTTATACCTCCCAGCACAGAGAAGCATCATAGGCCCCTTTGGCAAAAGCTTCCAAGTTCGACCCCTTATCCTGCAGAAAAAGTGTCATGCGTGTGGAGAAAACGAACCTTTCACTTGGATGATACAGCTGAGAAACATTGCACATTTGGACTAAGGTGTTCAGGATTTAACTATTCCACTCACAGTGTCTACTTTGGTTGATATAAGGCCTTCGAAATTCCTCAATTGAGGTGCTACCATTCTGCAGCAGTTGTCACAATCATGTTTCAATCGAGATGCACAAGATATAATTCGATGTACCACATAAGATTTAACAGAACAACATTCGACATGATATATTATACAGAAAAGTTCCCTTTCCAATCATACTTTAAAAGCAACAAATTGCAAAGCATGGAGAAATAACAATCAAAGAAAAAAATGGGGGTTGACAAACTTATTCTTTATGTCTGCCTCTCTTCGACCAGGTCTGGGAGCATCAACCGTTAGGACAATAGCCTTGTATCCATTTTCTTCAGCTCTGCGAACTATCTGAGCTGATATATCTCGCCTCTTGAAAACCTGTTCAAACAAAGGGTACCGTTTGACAGCTTGAGATGTGATAGGAAGGATAGAGACTTAAAAATGAAGGAAATAAAAAGAAATATTACTGTAAAACAAAATTAAGCCGAAGAGTGAAAAAATACATATAGTTGAAAGAACCGAACAGAATTGCAGCTGGAAGCAACCTCCTCCACAGTGCAGCTAGATATACTGGACAAAATCTACAACGAAAAATACTACAATTTATATACCATACAACGCATATTCGCTCAATGCATGTCGTAACTCATAGAATACCATTATGGTGTTACATGCAGCTGCTGCTCTAGCAGTGGCAACCTCTCCTGTATTCGATATAAAAGAGCTGGTAGAAATTAGTATCCTAAACCAATCTCAACGGAGAACTCTTTGGAAGGCAGTTTAGATTTTAGACCTTCGGGGTGAGCTAACTGATGCATAGAAGTAGGAGCAAGCATTATAGGCGCTGAAATTTTGTAACCCAATACGGTAGTTGACATATCTATTCTGCTAACATCAACGAGAATTCTAGGCCGCAACCTGGAACAAAGACACAGGTATCTCTCATGTAATTATACCATATTTTCGAGCATTTAGCAGCAGTAGAACTAAACATTTACGTGATTCTGCGAAATGCTTCAACGTTCTCTTTTAGCGTGTGCTGGTCCTCAGCTCCCCCAGTGTGAAAATCATAGTACATTTTCGGAAGCGCTTGCCTAGCCAATTCCTGGTACTCATTCACATTGACGGGTTCGGATGCCATTTATCCTGGAAACATAAACATTTACAACTCCTAGATTTCGAGCAATCCACCATATAATCACTGACAACTACAAAAACGTATTTTCACTTGGAATCTCATTGTTTGATGAAACATATTACGCTAAAACAATCTTAAAATGTCAAATATTCAGAAACTCCTGAATTTTAGATTTTCCTGCCTCAAAAATATATGCAGAACAGCATGAAACTTCAGAATTAGCACTAAAACAATTAAGAGAGCTGCTTGAAATCCATTAGACAAAGAAAGCATGATGATCCATCCACTCAAACCAACACAGACTAACCTGTGAGTTGAAATTTGCAAAACCCTGATTTGTTGCTGGTTAAATTCTTTGCTGAATTTTGGATGAGAGAAACGGAGAACCGTGCTTGATCGACTAGTTCTGTTTTTGGGACTGAGCGAATATCTGATCATTTTGACCCTTTTTAAGAAACTTATTAGGTAAAATTATATATGTGGGGCCCAGACATGTTGGCTTGGAGCTTATTTTGGCACTACCTAGGGTTTACTTTCTATTTTTCCATTTTTTGAATAGTGAAGCGCTTTCAACAATGTTTCAAATAAGAAATGGGACATGATTTTGCAATAGAACTGTGATATTTAATTTTTTTGTGCTTCTAGCAAAAGCACTTCCACCAAAAGCCCTTGCGAGCGGAAGTGATTCCTACTTGACAGACCGTTAACCGTCTTGAGCAATAGAGTGGTTTGAGTTGTTACTAGGTGCAGCAGCTCCAGCAAGCAAACTTCGAGTGGGAACTGTGATCAGATGCAGTTGCAGTAGGCAAAAGAATCCCTTGAGATATTTTGATGCTTATGAAAAAATCAAAGCATATGGTATTTGATACTTGTATCTAAAAGATGGTGCACAACTAAAAGCTTCAACAGGAGACTTCACGGTTAGTATAACAAGGAACAACGAAAAGAGCTGTTTCAATTGCAGAAAAATAGCGGGAACCACATATCTCGGAAGCTACTGAGCTTCACCAAAACGTTGTTCACCAGTCACAGAGAAACAAAATAATATCAACAAAATTGAACTAGTTGAGCTAGATTTCTCATGTTCATTCAATCACTATGTTCCTCCAGAACCGCTATTGCTTCCTCTAAAACCACCTTTGCACGTGAGGCACCTGTCTTCCATCATCCTTCCGCTGTAATTCTCTCTCATTTCATTGGAAAATTTGCCGCTGTCTCCATGATAACTCAAAATTCCTTTGCTGCGGAGGCCACCTCTCTTCCCTCACTTCATTTTCATGAGAAAACTTGCATCTCTCTCCGTAGTAACTTTGCTGCGGAGACCACCTCTCTTCCCTCACTTCATTTTCATGAGAAAACTTGCTGCGGATCTCTTCTCTCCGAGAAAACTAGTAACTTTGCTGCTGAGACCACCTCTCTTCCCTCACTTCATTTTCATGAGAAAACTTGCATCTCTCTCCGTAGTAACTTTGCAGCTGAGACCACCTCTCTTCCCTCACTTCATTTTCATGAGAAAACTTGCATCTCTCTCCGTAGTAACTTTGCTGCTGGGACCACCTCTCTTCCCTCACTTCATTTTCATGAGAAAACTTGCGTCTTTCTCCATAGTAACATCGACCCTGAGCATAATGTCGGCACATTAGCTTTTGCCCTCGCGGACTCGTGGGAAGGAAGTGGTTTACACTTGCCAACGGCTGTCTTTGATGACCCTGGAATGAAATTCCTTGGACAGTATGAGCATTGGATTTGTTGTCATAGATGTTAACCAGAGCCTCTCCGGTTCTATTATACACTCTTTGTATGTTGTTTGGATTTCTACTCGTATCCAAGTTCTGAGAAGCTTGGTTGAAATACCTATCTTGCATTGTAGTGTTCCTTCTCAGTTGAGGCTGAAATGTCACTTTTCTGGAATCAACAAAAAAGCCCGAGCTTATAGCTGGAGGTCCTGTGGCTGGTTTTTGTGAATAGGCAGTAGATTCTGATTGGTGAGGTTGAGTTGCTGGTTTTGATGAATGAGAAAACAATCCCAACTGCTGAGCTCCCGCTTTCATGTTTCCTGAACCAACAGATATACCAACTGGTTGATGTAGGTTTGCTGAGTTAACAAATGAAACAGATTGTTGAGGTTGATGAGATGATTTCAGCACCGAGGTTGAGTTCAACTGAGACTCGTTCTTTTTCGGTCCTCCCTTTCTTGAAACCCTGAAGTGCAGAAACGACAACACGGATGAGTGAAGTGAGACAAATTAGTAAATACAGACATAAAAACTAGTTTCTAGTGCAATCAGATCTAATACCGATTTGTCTTGAGCACTTTCCTCATTTCCTTCTCTTGGACCCGTGCTTCCCTGTCAGACCTAGCAAGAGATCCCCTAGAGTGCTTTTCCATCAAGACTTTCTGCCTCTCCCCTTCATCTTCCCATTTCTACAGTTGACAGCAAGATTTAATTATCTTAAAAATGGTTACCAATGACAACGATGACAAAGGAACAGAAGTTGCTTAGAGCAGACCTGTCTCAAAGTTTTCAACCGGTACAGGTTCCGGCCCTTAATTAGGAGGGGATGGAGTGGAGGAAGTGGTTTCTCCCCTTTGCTCCAGAGTACTTCAATCTGCTCAGCATTTACAAAAACAGCACTTTTAGCATATGAAAATAAGAACTTGCTTATTGAGCTCTAGGTGTCTAGCTACGAATCTGGAGTCAGCTAAAAATCTGGTGCTTATTACTTTCCATCCACTCTAATTTCATGCAAGCTCTATTTCAATCTAAGAATACATATGCACCTCGTTAACAAAAATCATAAGATACTTTGACTCACTGTAAAGGTGTGCTGCTGTTTAGCAGCTCCATAGCTTTCTTTCACAATCCTACCTGCAACAATCCTTGTTCCACATGGAGGGCCTTTTCCACTCCGCGATGCTATGTCAAACCTGCAAAATAAGAAAAGATTAAGAATAGAATACCAATGCACACGGTAACAATTTGTGCGGCTAGTGGAATAGAGAATAGCAGCACAGATAATGAACATTCACTTCATCCTAATTCCCTGTCTTAATGAGAAAGAGAATAGTTCAGGCCGCTTCAAATCAACTAGAAAATACTTCGATCATATTCCAACAGTTCCCATTTTTAAACAAAGAGCAAATGCTGTTCCAGTTTATCTCCAATTGTAAAAGGAAACAAAAGAACACAAATACAAACAACGGCTTACATTTCATAAACATGTTGTTCAAACATGACGACATCACCAGTGCATGCATCCCCTGGACATGATCACATTACTCTTCAGTTGTTAAACATAGAGGAATGAAAAATGTTCAGTACACCCCTCTCAGTGAAAGCAAATTCAACATACAGAATGAATGATATCATTGAAAAGATGACCTTAGGATTTTCGGGCAGCGGGGAACAATCCTTGTTTTGACACATGGCCTTTGGACCAAAGATAATAATGATGGTAATAACAATATGCCATAAACTTATCAATTATATACCTTTACAATTCAAAACAAAGGTAGATGCCGGGTACTTCTTCTCACCCCCACCATTCAAAATCCTGCAAAAACACAAGCAAACTTCAGAAATGGGGAGAAAAAAAACTCAGATCTCCAAAAGCTACCAAAGTGGCTGAAATTACTCTAAATGCTCCTTAATGCGCAGAATAAGCGTGTCTTTATTTCCGGTGAGTCTCAACCCGTTCTTCCTAAGGTACAGCTTACATTGCTCCACTTTCAGTTTCTCAATCTGTCTAGCTGCCACCAAACAATCACACAGAAACCAAACTTATTTTGAGAAGAACAGAAACCAAACTTATCAAAACTGACAACGACCACATTTGTGCATTTTCGCAATCGATTGGGCCAAATTGACATCTTATTGACCTAAATTAGCCCACAATTCACAGAACCACATTGGTACTTAAATTTCTGGGCTAACCTTCAATAATCTTTTGAACATTTTCAAAGCTTTGTCTATCCTTCTCGTCCAGCTCAGGCACAACCACCTCCTGTCCATCAACTTCTGCTTCACTACCGACATCATTATCCTTAACAATTCTGCAAATCGAACAATACCCATTTCAATTCCAACCCTTAATCACACATTAATCATAGACTAATTCAAAATTTAAAGACAAATGGAAGAACCCATTAACATAGATTTCTTTCAGGTAAACCAGACACTAACCGAGCCTTTGATTTACCCTTGATCGAGAGATTTGAGAATTTGGCGTGGGTTTCTTCGAGAATGCTGTAAGTCGGGTCCTTCATTGACTCATCCGAATCGTATTCTGGGTCGGACTCGGACTCTCCGATTTCCCACAAGTCTTCATCTTTTTCTTCGTATCGACGATTTTTGGATTGCTCAGGAGCAGCCATTGATGGGTTATCTTGGTTTATTGCTGAAACACCAGAAAGGGTTCTTTTGAGCTAAAGGTTTGGGCGGAAAGGTGGGAAATTGACGATTATAAAAAGGGGAATTCTCAATTCTGAGACCACGCTGCACACACCTCAAAGAGGGATGTTTTATACGACCGTTGGAATCATCTAACGGTAAAAACAATTTAAATTTTGAAATTTACAGACTCACAAGCCTTTTCTTTTGCTAGATATTGAGGAAGGGGCCCAAGCCCACGATAAATTTTTTGATCAGGCACCTAATTATGTGACATGTTTGATCAACCTTACAGATATGTTTCGAAAGCTAAACTCAAATTAATTGTAAAAGTCATCCGGTCATATTCGGGGTTGCATTAATCACGGTATAAATGTGACACGTCTGATTCTCAAGTTGGGCTATTTTCGGTTCGCTTGCTGTTACTAGGGGAATCCTTATAAGTTTTTTTTCCTCAGCTTATTGATATGCTTAAATTCGGGTAACCCTGCCTGGCTTGGGGTCGCGTTAAAAGCTCCGTCGAAGCAGAGCAATGATCTCGATCGTCGTGGCGTTCGTCCCCGCCTACGGATCAATTGACATTTTTCACAAATTTTACGAAACAGAGGCCATTTTTCTCATATTCGTCATTCCTTGTCTTAATTCCGAAACCGGCAAGCTGAATCCCTAAATAAGAATCTTTCCAAGCTCTAGCTAGGTTTTGTACTTCATCTGACTTCATCTGACTTGATCCCCAAGCCTCCTATGTTACAGGGGATGAAAAGGCAGCAACTTGTTAGGAGTAGGTTTAGCTCGATATTTTTTTTTTTTGGTGTTGATATTGTACTTGTGCTCATGACGACAAATATGACGTCTTTGTTTTTCGACACACATTGTTTCCAACCAAATATTCTCTTTGATAAAACATGGGCACTTCACGAGTAGTGCTTTTGTCAACACACAGGGGAGGGGGGAGGAGGGGGCGGGTTAGAGTGTGCTACAAGTTTACGATATATTGACGGAATGCCGGTTTATAAACTCTAGAAAATGATGTGCCTGCAGGAATATTCAGAATGCCGTAGAATATCTTTTAGGCA